CATCAGAATAACCGGATGTCTCCGAAGCCTTAAGGCACGTACTGGTGTATTTATAAAAGAAGTTTATTTGAAAACATTCTTCAAGTTTTGAAGAGAAAACGATTAACCATGCTATTTGTTTGGTGTCCTCCGACTTCTCAAAATTGGGATTTTTCTTCAAAATTGTCGACTCTTGATTTCTTTGTTCTTTTTACTAAGAGACTATAGGCCGAGGTCCGTATATCCTTTGAGGTCAGTAGACCAGAACGAGTAACATAGTCTTCTCCCAAACATAGTTTGCACGCTCGACCTAGGATCCAAAGATCCAACAGGCAACCAAAATATGTTGTCGATGCTTGTTCAAACATAGATTTAACTATTTCCCTATTACTTTTCCGAATCTTGACTACATCTCTTTTGAAGATCATATGTGAGTTCAAACTCACACGTTTGGCTTAACTAAACAATGCCGGTTTTTTAAGTATTTAAATATATGTTGACAGAAGAAATATTATCTTCATTTCAAATTAGGGGCAATTATAAAAATGCCACTTTTTGTGTGCACATTTGCAAGAATGCCACTTAGGGATGTCCATTTACAAAAATGCCACTAATTATAGATTTATAAAGCMTATATCTTAAAATTCTAAACCCTAAAAAATGTTTTGACACCTAAAACCCCCTAAACACTCAAAACTAAACCCTAATAGAACATAATTAACCCAAACATAAATAATATAAAGAAAAAATAATTTTGAAAAAGTGGCATTTTTGTAAAAATTTCAAAAGTGTGGCATTTTTGTAAAATGACACTTAAAAACTGGCATTTTTTGAAAAAAATTTTCAAATTAAGTGTCGTAGTATAAGAGAATACCAAGAGTTAGGCTGTTTTTAGAGGTATAATAGAATTTTTAACATGTTTTAAAAGAGAGATCTTACTTCACCCTCTCCTTTATGTATATCCAGCAAAATCCCTGATTGCTAAACGCTGTCGTTTCATAATAAACAATCAACAATGCAAACAAATTCACATATTATATCAATAAATTCTATTTTAATTTTTTTTTTTAATCAACTGATACCAAAATTTTTTTTTAAAAAACGAGAAAGGATAAAAGAAAATTTTTAAGTTAAAGGTTTCTTCATTTCAAAATTTTTACTGTGAAGATGGGTAGTTTAACTTTAAAATTACATATCTACCAAATTTCTCTAAAGTTAATAAGAAAACATACACTAATAATAAATAACCCCTTATTTTTTTTTGTCGTATAAATAACCCCTTATATTCCTCAGAAATTGTAAATCATCTTTTTTTTTATATATTAAAAATATTTAACATT